AAATTGGTTGCAAAGCTGAAACCCAAAGTTTAGGATCAAAATCGCTTTATTTTTGAAAAAGTTAGCCTTTGGTTGGAATTGATATGAAAACTTTGCAGCCTCGTTGCTTTTACAAAAGTGAACAATAATACTTTTTAACTGTCTTGGGGCCAAAATACCAAATACAACTCACAAGAAAGTGTTAAAATCTTCTAATAAAGTTACATGCCAATTTTTACAATTATCTGAAAGTCTGTTCTGATGCAGAAATCTATAGTCAGAGGAAGAAGAACAAGACGCACATGGAAAGAAACGATAATCATCGAAATACTGTGTCAACCTAGAAGGATCATTTCTCCTGACTGGAAAGAGATATCAACAAAATTACCAAGACTTGTTAAGAGCCATTGTTTATACAGGATGTCCCATGAAACATGACAGAAGCAAGACAACTTTGATTTTTTAAATAATTCACGGCGTTTTTTCGTTAACCAAATTTAGGAAGTAAAATTCTAGAGTTAATAGTTATCCTAGTCTTTGCATTTCCAAAATGTGGTCTGCCTTTTTTGTGCTCTCAATATTACCAGAGATGTGATTAATTTTGTTCCGATCTCGAGAATTATGGGTTTTTAATAAGAAATTTGAACGAAATTCTCAATATCTTTGGTAATATTGAAAGCACAAAAAAGACCACATTTTAAAATCCCAGAGCTACGAAAATTTTGTGGTTATTACTTCAAGTATCATACAGTGATAACCAGAAAACACTGGAATAACAGTATAGCAATAATTCAGAGTATTTGATGTTGTTACAAAACAAACAGTTTTACTAGACACTTATAAATCAATGATCTAGTGAAATGAGTCTGTTTACACGATTTGCACTGCATATTTGCTGTGTCTTATGCTCATCAAACTTTTAAAAGTAATAACTTGATTCTAAAAGTCGAGTCTGTTTAAACTGAATGTCTCAAATAAATGCAAAGATCTAAGACTACTTTCAAATCGTTTTGATACTGTCATGTTTCGTGGGACACCCTGTGTGTAAACAATGACTTTCAACAAGTCCAAGTCGTTCCAGATGACCAGCCAATCAAAAGAATGAAGAAACCTCACGCAAAACGTTTTATTGAAACACTGCATTAACATCGAAGGATCAAACGGTGGAAGGTGATTATAATATATATAAAGACTACTTTCGATTTCAATTTTGATTTAAATCAAGCTTTTAAACAGCGTGGGTACACAAAAAATGGAAACAAAGATAAGATGTCAATTTAAAAAACTTCTTTTTAATTACGTACTTGTAGACTGAAGTAATTCTAAAAATGCTTGATAACATTTATACCTTAAATAAAAAGTCGTCTTAATTATATTGATATAATTGTCTACCACCGAAACTCTGAATGAACAGGTATCGACGATTTTTCAAGTTCCAGGGGTACTGAGTGTCCCAATAAACATGGGAATCGAAAGACGACTTGAATATCGTCTATTATTTCCGATATTTAATAAATGTGACATAAAATGCATCAAAAAATATTAAACTTTAAGTGTGCTTTCCAAAATGTGGTCTACCTTCTTTGTATCTTTTAAATTGACGGAGATATTAAACATGTGAACAGTATTGTTAGTCTTTAATTAACTAAAATCTAAAAATATTTCCTGATATCTCCGTCAATTTTGATGGTAAAAAAATGGTGGACCACATTTAGGAAATCCCGAGACTTGTAGTTTTCGGTGTTAAATGTTTTAACTGTGATACTCTAAAATACATTAAAAATAATCCCACTTGGAACAAAGACGATATAGAGGTCGTCATTTAATTCCCATGTTTATTGGGAAACCCTGTAGCTACAAAATGGATTTTGGCACGCACAGGTAGCTTCAGATGACCAGCCAAAGGAAAGAATGACTAAAGGTTGTATGCATCTGTGTATCAAATATCATTTTGAAAATTTAAAATTTTTACCAGTTCAACCTACTATCATGGAAATACTGCGTCAACTATTGATTTTTTAAAGAGATTTCCACTGGACTTGTTTCCACTGGATTGGTATTGAAAGTTATGCAAAGTAAACACGAGTATCGTGTAAAAATGTCTCTCATTGCTAGAAATGAAAATTTCGAGAGTGTTATGTAGTTGTTCTATACGTATGTTCAAACCACTAGATAATGGTCTTGTTCAATGTAGCCTAACCGGAAATCATGAATGATTGTTTTATCTCTAAGATTTTTTAAATTACTTTAATTGCGGTAAACCACTTCAGTTTATCTTATTTACCAGCTGCCATCTCTAACCTTCTTCAACAAGTTATTATCTTAAAGGGAGTGTTCGCGAAAAATGAAAGGGGGTATAGGCTTACGCGAAAAATTATCAATGGTGATCGCTACTAATCTTACTTCGATATGTTGCGTCTATAAGGAAAAAATTGTTAAAACCGACTCATACCGTAGAACGTAGCATCCACACAAATTCAGAAAGTTTTAGCATTTGACTCGGATCGTGAAAAAATCCAATAAATTCCAAACAAATTATTCAGATAATACAACCTATAATCATCGATAATTTTTCGACACTGCATTCGTTTATACTTGACATTTTATAAAAAAATTTACTAGTTTTATATACGATGTACTTTAAACGATTTTTTTGTCGCTATGTGAAGTTGGAGTGTACATGGAACTCCAGAAGTCGAGAGCAGAAACATCTATCTGCCAAATAAACGCCTTCGCGAATACTCCCTTTAAGGATCACAGGAGTGCTTTGTGAAAACAGCTCTGAGCTATCAAAGCTCTCCTATAACTACAGTAGTTAAATATATATATATATATAGATTTACTAAAGTTTTGTCAATAATTGTTATGATCTATTATTACTGCAGAACAACATATGATCTGATTTGATTTGAACTTGCAAGATATGTTTAGATAAGATCTTTTTAGTCTCGGGGTAATCTTCAAGTCTCAAAATGATGGCCGTAACTTGAAATTATTTCTACAGTCCCTTAGTAACCATTTCTTTTTGTCTAAAACACTAATAACTACAAATTCCATCAAATATTTAAACTCATAACTCATTGGTTAAATGAACATTTTATCAACAACTTAAAATCACTTTTAATTCGAATAAATAGGCAATAAAAGTTTTGGCTAAAGGGAGAATTTAAACATTAATGATTTTAAAAATCGCAAAAATATCTTTAAAAAAATTGATAAATATCAATTTAAAATTCATGATAATTTATAAGAACCCTTTTTCTTTATCTCAATTCCTCAAAAAGTACTTTGTCTTTAACATTCCAGTCTTTCTGAAAATGAATTTGCGGAACATGGACCAAAAAATATGTTTTTATTTTTTTTTTTTATCGCAAATAACGTTTAGGTATAACTAATCACTAATTTTCAAATTCAAGTCATTACAGAGGAACTATTCAATTACATAATACAGTTTTGGTATTTTTCAGAAAAAAACATGCATTATTTTTCTATCGTCAGAAACTATGATAATAATAATTTTAACTAATTACAATTCAAACTAGTTTACAGTTTAAATATAAACAACATTTGAAATAATTAAGATAAAAGCTGTGCTACAGGGTTATCCACAAAGGATGAGAATTCAGAGACGATTGTATTGAATTTGTTTAGTCCATTTCCTTGCACTCAGGTTTCCTTGTAGGCCAAAACTGGCTTATTTCTATGCTTAATCATTTAGGAAACCATCAAAATTGGGTCGACTTTACAGTCTCATCCTTTATAGGTAACCCTGTATCTATAAATAGCATAAAATTTGCTTGCCTGTCCGTTAGTATCCAATAAACGTTATAACAGCCGAACCGATCGGGCCCAAAGTTTTTGAGGCAACTCATATCAACCCAGGGAAGGTTTATGGATGCTCAAATTTGTCTCCAAAATATTTTGATTTATATAAAATTTTGAAAATCCACGAACAGATATTGCTAAATCCGGAAACTTTTTTTAATTCAAAGAGAGGATGAGAACCACAATTATAGGTTAAAATAGAAGATGGGTGCAAATCGTCATAAAAGCCTAGTATTATATATTTACAAATATAGACACTAGTTTGCGAATTAGAATAGTTTTCATAAATATACTAGATCAAATAGTCCGAGTATTTGTTCTGATTTTTATACAAACTCTAAAGTTGGAAACTGTAATAAATGCATAGCATTAGTGTATTCTCAATCTAAATATATATATTTTTTGTATCCAATTACAACGTCAGAACGGATTCACCGATCAGGCCAAAATTTGTTGTGGACCTTACATGACCTAGGAAAGGTTAATGTAGGAAAGGTTAATGGATGGTCAAAATTTTAAAATTTTGCCTTAAATATTTCGTTTTTTTTATTTTCAAAAAACAGTCGATAAATCCGCGTTTTTTAAGTAATGATTGATAATTTCAAAATATATTTAATATTTAATATTTTAAAAAGCCGCAGATGGAGCAAGAAGTAACAATTTAAATCGAATAAGGGCGTGAATCACCCTGGAAGACTAGTATGTTAATTTTCCTTATTCCTAAGCAGAAAGCTTCTGTTCATTTTTTTTTTAAAGAAAAGCTTCATTTCTCCTGAAAACGTAGAAAATATCAACAAAAAATCATAACTAATCTCCAGGGCGGGAAGTGGGAAGATTCAAAATTTGGAGCGATCATAAAAATATTTAATGCTTCTCTCTAATAATTTCTTTTGATTCGTCCTGATAGATATCGATTGGCAATACATTATTTATCCAAAATATTAATTAGTTTTTATTGACCGACTGTAAACAGAACAATTTTTTTTTAGGTTTAATCGAATTGAATTAAGAAAATATTAAATTATTTTTCATTCAAATTGAAATTTCACTTCACTCGGTTTTATTTTGAACTTTACAGAACATCGTTAGATATTTAGAAAAAACTAACAGGAAAACATCATTCTATAAAGCTCTTTGCTCATATAAAAATATATATATATATATATATGATAGCTGTAGCTCTCCAAACGCAAATGCAAATTGGCTGAAATTTTATTAAGGAAACTCTTTAGTAGTAGAACCCTTACAAGACTTGAATTTTGTCTGTTACCCCAGCATAAGTAAATCAAAAAATTCAAGTGTTTCAAAATTCCACTGACACTTAAACTAGTAGCATAAAAATGAGGATATTTTAGTTTTCTCGATTTAAACTTTTCAAACGTTTAAAATGTGCAAAATGTTTTAAAAAATCCTAATCTGTTGAAAATGAAGAAAAGTTTAAGTTTAGCAACATGGATTTACATTAACTTACAGCTGCAAAATTAGGTCTAGCCTAATCATTTTTTATTCAAAATAAGGCCAGAAGTGGACCAAATCTTACAGGTATACATAATAATACGTCCATATCCGAAGTAGTAAAATTTAAAGGGTTCTGAGTCCCCAACTCCGTTTATTATTTAGTACATTTGTGGAATCAGCTTTTTAAGATTGTTCTTTAGATACACATCTTGGCTTTATTTTGAAGTATTTAAAATTTTCGCTTGTTTACATTTATTTTTATATAAATTTGGATTTATCAAGAAATTTAGCACATTTCAAACTTTTGCAGAATTAAAATTGAGAAAGTTGTCACAAATTTTAAGAAATGCCGCACATTAACTTTAGTGTGGAATCATATCATTATCGTGTCTCTTTTTTCGGTGACTTTCTAAACCATTTACAGTAGCAGCGGCAAACATACATTGATCGCAGAAATATTTAACTGCATTATGTTTACTGCTAACATGTCTCTTCAGATTGCTTTGTGTAGTGGCTGTATATTTACAGGATTCACAGGAAAATCTAATCCCTTCGTGTTTACTCTTTATATGCTTATTCAGATTACACGTCGTAGTTGCGGTATATTCACACTGTTCACAAGAATATCTGACCCCTTCATGTTTACTTTTTATATGAGCTTTCAGATTACACGTAGAAGTTGTAGCATAATCACAATTTTCACAAAGATATTTCAATCCTTCATGTCTACTTCTTATATGTCGTTTTAAAGTACTTGGTTCAGTAGCAGCATATTCACAACGGTCACAAGGATATCTTACCCCTTCGTGCTTATTTAAGATATGCTTTCTCAAGTCACCTGCTTGTGTGGCAGCGTATCCACAAGATTTACAGGGATATCTTACGCCTTCGTGCTTGTTTTCAACATGTTTTCTCAGATTACTAGCAGAAGTAGCAGAAAACTCACAGTTTGAACAGGGATATCTCTTTCCTTCATGCTTACTTTCAATATGCTTCTTCAGATCACCAGCTTGAGTGGCAGCATACGTACATAATGTACAGGGATATCTGACCCCTATATGCTTATTTTCAATATGTGTTTTAAGATTTCCAGATTGGTTTGCCACATAATCACATTCAACACATGGGTATATTAATCCTTCAGGTTTACTCTTTTGTCTCTTTGGTTCAGAGTAAAAAGAACTTTCTTCGTCTTTCTTCACTAAAAAAAAAATCAATTTGTACAGTTAAATGGGCTGTAAGCGTGATTATCCATTCAAAGAGAGCAATGTCCGTTTTACGATGGCGCCCTTAAAACCTTTATCTGATAATCTGACTAAAAAAATGTTTATTTCTGTACCTTTCTCCCTTGTTTCTTATAAGCAAGAAATTCGCACGTCACTTTTTCAGAGAACCCGCAATGGTACCGTTGTAAATCGGACATTGCTATCTTTGCATGATGGGTAACTTAAAATCACGCTTACAGTCCCTTTAACTAAAATATTTTATAATAATAATTAATATCCTGACATTTAACCAAGTTTTCTTTAAACATATCCCTGATTATTAATATCCTGGCATTTAACCTTGTTTTCTTTAAACATATCCCTGATTAATAATATCCTGACATTAACCAAGTTTTTCACCCTTTTTCATTTTCATAAAACAATATTTTATTTTCCCAATTCATCAAGTGGAACTTAAAAAAATTGGAGCTGAGCGCAAACATACCTGACATCTGGGGGGATATATTCTTAAAATGGGGCGGGATTGTTTTTGAATAAATTTAATACTTAGAGTAGGTAACTAACTTTATCCATGAACAAATATATTCAGGCAAATGTAAAGAGGGGGGCCCAGCTCCACAAAATTAAAGAGAAGGGCCCAGCTCCACAAATGTAAAGAGGAGGGCCCATCTCCACAAATGTAAAGAAGGGGGCCCAGCTCCACAAATCTAAAGAGGGTGGCCCAGCTCCACAAATTTAAAGAGGGGGGGCCAGCTCCACAAATGTAAAGAGGGGGGCTCAGCTCCACAAATATAAAGAGGGAGGCCCAGATCCACAAATGTAAACAGAGCTCCACAATTTTATAGAGGGGGCCCAGCTCCACAAATGTAAAAGGGGGCCCAGCTCCAAAAATGTATGGAGGGGGTTCCAGCTCCACAAATGGATAGAGAGGGGCCCAGGTCCACAAATGTATAAAGGGGGGCCCAACTCCACAAATGTATAGAGGGGGCCAGCTTCACAAATATATATAGGGGGTATAGGGGGCCCAGTTCCAGTAATAAATAGAGGGTTGCCAGCTCCACAAATATATAGAGGGGGGCCATCTCCACAAGTGGATCTAGAGAGGGGTCCAGCTCCACAAATTCTCATCTGAACCCAGAAAGTTAATAACGTATCGTTCGTACCCAACAAACCTTAATTCCAACACCAAATTAATAATCCTATAACACTCTCGGATGAAATTGAGGTATTTTTTCAAACAAAATTAGATTAAAACACAAGAAATGCATCGTTATGGACTTAAAATTACCTAAATGATATCTTAAGGATTCTTTAATTTAAAAAAAAAACTTTGAAATTAACCCGTAAAATGGAAAGGTTTTTTTAAGCAAAGTTTTGTTTCAATAAATTAATTTTATAATGAACGAATGTAGCCCTGTTTTATAATAACATTAATCCTCAGCTACTTAAGTTCAAAATATCTTAAACACATTAAACAGTTTTGAGAATCTATCCCAAAATGTAAGTTTGTGTGACAAATTAAGACTAGTTAATAATCGAACAAGGATGAACTTAATAACTTTTCTAATCCATGATACAGCACATATATTAAACAGTGTCAGATTTGATTGTTTTCTGTTTCTGCTAATTTCTGAGAAAAATAAACTCAATTATTTCCAATGTGGTGATTAGATGATCAATATGTGGCGTTCAGTCGGAAATCTATGGTCTGGAATGAATAAGAGCTTTCTACCTGAGTTCGGACAAGAATTTTTAGAGCAAAGCCTCCTTTTCTAGCTCACGCTTTTTCCAAACATACCTTGGAACTCTTTAATTTCTGTCTTTACATCGTCTTCCTGTATATATACTGAACATGTTTCCTCCTCCGCAGGGATCTCCTCCTTTATAGTTACTTTTTCTTCTTCCACAGTAGGTGACGGAAGTCGGCAATTTGGTTCCGTAACTTCGGGAAAAGGATTTGCCATTTTCTCTGCAATATATATTATTTCATGTTGTAAAAAAATAATAAAATAAAATAATCCGATATCTTCTGTCTCCGAACGAAGATATTGAAGATTTGATGTCATATCCTGTTCCTAGAACATCAGATGAGTATACATGCAAAAGTAGAACCGGCTAACACCCTCTTTTATTGAGATATTGAAAAATGTCATAGATGCAACACCTTTAACCTAAAACGTCATTTCCAGATAAATTTTTGCTGGAAAAAAAGCCTGCTTATACAATAAGTAGATAATTTTTTTTTTGTGAACGTTTGACTTCCATTTTTCCCTTAAAAAGGCTCAATAAATAGGGAATTTGAGTGACGTCATCTTTGCATAATGCATATAAACAAATATTCAAATACCATGATTCCGGCTCAGTAACATTATGCCTAGTTCGTGAATGCCTAGTTCACTACGCCTAGATTCATGAATGCCTAGTTCGTAATGCCTAGATAACACCATGCTTAGATTCATAGATTCATGAATGTATATATTTCTGAATGCTTAGAAAACATTATGCCTAGATTTCATAATGCCTAGTCACCCAATGCCTAGTCACCCAATGCTTAGATAACATTAGACAGAATTAAATGCCTATAGACATTGTCAAACAATAAATAAATGATACTAATATGTTTACATGATTTATTACATATTTTATTGGTCAAATTATGCCTATCATGAGCCAAAGTAGAAATATAATCTGCTCTGCGTGTCAAACTTTAACTGAAGTTGCACATTTTCAGAAAGTTGTTTGCGGATTTTTGTAAAAATGTTACCGGATTGTATGTTTTTTTCTCTCTCTTATTTTTATTTCTCTTTGAAATACATTGTCTAGGCATTCAATGCACTCTTATGTTATCTAGACATACTGTTATCCAGGCATTCATGAATCTAGGCATTGTATTCTCTAGGCATTATGTTATCTAGGCATTATGAACTAGGCATTCAAAAATCTAGACATAATGTTATCTAGGCATTCAGAAATCTAGACATAATGTTGTCTAGTCATTCATGAACTAGGCATAGTGAACTAGGCATTCGGGAACTAGGCATAATGTTACTGAGTCATGATTCCTTTTTGAGTGTTTCTCTAGATCGAAATTTGTAATGGCAACAAAAGTACACTGATCACATGGATGGTTCACTCCTTCATGTTTGAGTTTGACGTGTCTTCTCAGACTATTTACTCTAGTGGCAGCAAATTCACAATGTTCACAGGGATATTTTACTCCTTCATGTTTATTTTCGATATGTTTATTCAGATTACCTGTTGTAGTAGCTGTATAATCACATTGCTTACAAGGATATCTAATACCTTCGTGTTTAACTAAAATGTGTTTCCTCAGATTACCTTTTTCAGTTCCAACATATTCACACTGATTACAGGGATAACAAACCACTTTATTTCTATGCTTTTTCTTAATGTGCGCGTGCAGGCAATTTTTGTAAGTTGTTACATATTCGCATTGATCGCAATGATATCTGACACCTTCATGTTTGTTCTCAACATGATTCTTTAGATGAGCTGATGTTGTTGCAGCATATTCACATTGCTTACATGGGTATCTCACTCCTTCGTGCATACTTTTAACGTGTCTCCCCAAATTACTTGCTGTAGTAGCAGTGTATTTACATTGTGTACAAGGATATCTCACTCCATGATGTTTACTCTCAATGTGAGCTTTGAGGTTTCCAGCATGTGTAGCCACATAATCACATTTATCACAGGGGAATTTGACTTGTTCATGTTTACTACTCTTCAGTCTCTTTGGTTCAGGGTAAAGAGGGTCATCTTCGTTATCAATGAATTCACCTAAACAAATTTAAAAGAAATAATAAGATAGAAACTAGAGTTTCCAGCGGTTTTTTTTCAGGAAAATGAATTTAGCAAAAGAAGCGAAAACGATGCAAAATTTCACGCAAAAAAAACCAAGCAAAACGATAGTATTGCAGCTGCAACAATTTTCACTACCTGAAAATCTCTGCTCAGAGAGCTCAGCATTAGAAGTTTTATTTTATGTAATATTATTATTTATGATTTCTTTTCCTTTACTTGAAAAAATGTGTGATGAAGAGAACTCGATCTATCTATAGAATGACAAGCACGTGGCTCTCTTCAAGTTATCAGGTAAGCTATCATGGAAAATTCCCCATTTTTTCGCAAAACAAAATAATTCAAAGTTTCCCGAAAAAAAAAGAAAAAAATTGAATATTTACGAAAGTAATGCGAAAAAAAGCAAAATTTTCGGCGTAACGAAGTTTTGGAAAAATGCCAAATTTTCACGAAATTATTTTTCCATTTCGCGAACACCCTATAATAGAAACTAAGCATCGTATTTTTTATTTAATGTTTTCCACTGAATACAAATCGAGCTTAATCAAATAGACAGGAAATCAGGGGTACATTATTTTCAGAATAATACCCCGAAGGGAAGAGGAGGGGATTTTTGACGAAAGTGTTATTATTTTGCCCTGAAAATCATTTATTTTCCTCAATCGAGCAAAAGAAACTCAAAAAATTCTTTTTTGTAATAATAAATATAAATTCTCATTTTAAAATTTGTTGAAGGTATCATAAAAGTATGTATGAAGAGAGAGAGATGAGAGAACAATTGATTTTTGTTTTGAATGTTTAGAAGTTTTTATTGTTTTTGGGGCTAAAGCTGAAGCCTAATTAAACCATAACAAATGTAATGACTTTTATTTGTGATTAAATGTATTTTTTTTAAACAAAAATAATATGATAAAATTTTGGAGCTCTCGCCATACCTTGGAATTCCGTAATTTCTGCCTTCAAGTTATCTTCTTGTATATATACTGAACATATATTAACTTTAGGACCGATTTCTTCTTTGATGGACAATTTTTCTTCTTCCGTGGAACCTGCCATTCTTTCTGAAATACAATAAATTCGGAAACACCTACAAGAATGATCAATGTAATCTCACTTACATTCTCATGAAAAGAGTTGCCGTTTCTTGGGG